TAAATTATTACTCCTTTCATGATGTTTTAAATATACTATATAATAACTTTTATAGACTATAACATATAAAATAATTTTTAATAAATTAGTATTTATTTTAATATATTATATATATATATATATATATAAAATAAGATAATAAATGAATGTTAGACACATAATATTATTTCAAATTTTACAAATTGGTATTAAAAATGAAACAATTATATGTAATAAATTTCAATTTATATTATAAGATATTAGATTTTATATATGAACAAGATATCACGGAAGAAATATGAAAAATTCTATATATTCATGATAATATGAATTTCCTGAAGTAATAAGAAAGTAAACAATTGTTTAAAACTTTTCCAATCAGAATAAATGAAAATTTAATTTAACTTATATATATTTTTTATATAATTTTTTTATACTATCATAAAAATTAGTTATTCATACATGTATTTGTTTCTTAATCAAATCTTTTTATTCTTATAAATAAATTAGTTTTGTATTTTTATCATGTACATACAAATATAGGTTATAATTTCGATTAATAATTATTATTAAGTATCAGTTAATTTAAAAAAAAATATATATTAAAAATAATTTTATTATTAGATATTCTTATCATTAAACATATTGTTATTTTATTATACATACGCATATTTGATGGAACTACAAAGTTTCACTATCAACTATGTATATATAGAAAACTAGTGTTGCTTGATATATACATGTAAACTAAGCATATAATCGATTGCATGTCACATGCGTTTAAATTCAAAGGATAGGCAGTTTCTCATTAAAAATCAGTGATAATCATAAAAATTTGTAACTATAAATGGATGCAATAAGAAACATTTCATTTTTGTACGTTCTCCATTTTCAATGATGTGCCTGTCACTTTCTGACTTGAATTTATTATGTTGGCAATAAAGGTACGTATAAAGTACAATGTATCGCGACTATGTTTCACAAATACAATGAAATAGCAAAGCCTACTTTAAGAAGTTTAAGAAGAAAGCTTTTGCTACGTACATGTACTTTCATATAAGTAACGTACGCAAATGTACTCCTACATATCCAAACAAACTTGCGTCCCATGTGTACACATATACGTACGTAGTTCGTACATATAACATGTACATGTAATAAATATATCTCAATATGAATAAGATAAAGGAAAAAGAAAATGGATAAAAGGGAGAACGTATGGGACAGAGATAAAAAAAAATCTATATCACAGGTGCATATCGGTGCAATCATATATGTACAGTAATATATAATTATATATATAATTATGTATATGTATGTATTAATTATCATTTATTGTGCACATAAGGGACATGTTTCCACGTTTTGTGTGCATCCTTTGTTTACAAAGGATACTTATCAAAAATCGAAGATGGTATATCACAATGAAAGCCAAATACGAAACCGAGCGAACAAAGAACGCTGGAAAATGCGTATATTGAATAATGGGAAACATGGAAAGGATAACACAAAAGGATATCTATGGGTGGGATATTACGGAAATTGGGGATGCTACAGGAAATTTTTTCAAGAGAAAGAAAAAAATTCAATCATCAGAGAAACGCATTTGAGAAATCTACGAAAAGCGATGGGAAATGTCGGAGAACAGCACACCGTCAAGGGATAAAATAAAAACAAGGTTGAGCGAGCGAGAGAAATAGAGAGAGAGAGAGACAGCGCGCATCCAAATTTCGGAGGGAAAACTCCTACCTTTTACTGGGATAATCTGGGATTTCAGAGCGATGTCATAGCAGAATACGTTGGTTGCGCTAGGCGAAACCGACGGTCGGCGATGGCCGTGCAGCTCACCACTGAGAACACTGAGGTCGCTCCATGTCTCTCACTCGACCCAAGCCACGACCCCGCCCATTATGGGCCTACTGATATTCTTTATTAGGTCGTATTTTAAACCATAAACCACTAAGTGCGTTCATATGTTTAATCAATCTTTTCTTTAAATCACTAAAAATATTTTTTGATATTCCGCGTAGCAATATCTACGTCGTAAAATTATCAGCGTTCTTGGTCACTGACGTCAAATGCTTTCACAAACTTCGCTTATTTCACCGTAAGTTAATGGTGGCACCACTTGCTTGCCTTGAAATAGCCATATTGTTTTCCACCAATATCGATGGAGAAAAGACTTAAACGAAAAGCATAATTTCTTCAAATAATACATATATTTTTATAAAAAAATTTTTTTCATTATATTTGATATCATTTTTCTTCTTGAAATTATTTAATAATATATAACTGATAAATTATACTAGAAATATATTAATATTGCATTTAAAAATAAAAATATATTTATCTCTTTCCGTTTATTTTGTTTAAGCATATCATTAATGTGTATAATATTTGTGTATATACACATACTTTATAAGATCATAAAGGCCTTCACGATGAAAGAATGGCGAATTGATTGTTTTTTCCCACTACATACTTTTTCAATTTTTGCATAATATCATATAGTATATTATAAATATAAATTATTTTAAATATTTCCATAAGCTATATTTATTTTTTATTTTTTAAAGTTATATATGTATATAAAAAATCATTAGATTTAATATAATTTTAATCTTAATATAATTTTAATCTATTATAGTTATTAAAATAAAAATAAATAAAAATTCTGAATTGAATCAAGTTGTAGAGAAATCACCTGGAATAATAGTTCTTGACCCTACTATCATTATTCATTTTATTATATATATTTTCTTTCATCTTTAAAGATTTTTTAAGCATTTAAACAAATTTTAATATTTTTTCCATTTATCTTTGATAAATGATTTGATAAACGAAGGAAAAAACAATAAAGGATATAAAATCTTTCCTTAAATTCTGTAATCACAAGATGTCGTGCTTCACTATTCAACCAATCAGCTCGTTTTACGTTCCGATCGTTATACACAACATTAGTTTATTCAATTATTTTATTATAAAATATGAAAAAAAATTATAGCATTTAATTGTAAAAAAATAATCAATATTTTTAATATATAGAAAATTTCTAAATTTTAATTTTATAAAGATTTTAAAGCAAATTTAATAAATTGCTCGAAAAAAGCCGAAGATACCCGAAAGAGATTCAACGTGATTGGATGACAAAGATCACGTGATCAATGATGCTATGAAATATTGGTTTAGGTTGACTGGTGGGGGATATTCATAATCCTTAAGTTTGGATTGTGTCTTCACAAAGACAAGAGAGAGATTCGGAGGAGCATCGTGCTTACGAGCACATAGTTTACGAGTTCGATCGCAGTATCTGGTTTCAGCGAGTGTTATGTGAGTTGGCGTAGTGGCGAAAGAGAGCTTAAAGTGAAAGGAAAAATTGCATGAAGAGGCAGAAATTGACGGGCGCTGCTTGGCGGATAATAATATCAGTTTTTAAAATAGAATGAACATCGTTTAGTGCGCGTACATATACAGACACGTACGAGATATTGCTACAAAGTTAATTTCACGTTTTACGGACATATATGTACACGCGCGTGCGCGTTGCGAGGGTACGAATACATATAGTTTCGCTGTCGAACGGTGATATATTGTGAAAAATCCGTGTGGAGCAGCGAAAACAAACAACTCGTGTCCGCCATCTTGTGCCTCTCCAGCTACGTTGAAAGGAAAGTGAGAGAATTCGGACCGACGTGTGTGATTTTATTCGGTGAGAAAAAAGAGTGTAAGTAGAGGTGACCAACGGTCACCGAATGTGGTCAAAATTGCAAAAAACACGAATAGGGAGGACTGCGAGAGAACTCAAAGAAAGCGAAACGAGGTAGCATTGCGCTCATAGGAGGTTCGTAGGATACCCCACCAAGTTTATTCCTCCGCGTTCCCCCTACCCTTTTGCCCTGGATCCCGAGATTATTGCGCAGTTAGAAAATTCATTGAATACAAACATCGTCAAAAACTTCGTTGCATCTTTGGAAAGTGACCCGCGGACATTATACGGTAAGATTTTCGACAGGTTAAAAATTGATTATTCCTCCCCTCCTCCTATATTTGCTTAATTTCGATATAATATAGAATGAAGTTTTGTTTTTGTTTTTTTCTTTCTTTATTTTTTTTTTTTTATAAATATATTATTTTAAACGTTATATTATGTGAAAATAATGAAATTGATTTTTGAAATTTTTCGCGTTAAATATTGTTATTTTTATCGATTTGTTTGAGGTCAAATTTATGTATTAAATTTACTGATTAAGTTTAATATGATGAAAAAAATATTTATTATTATTTGGTAACATTCTGATATCCTTGATGACGTATAGCAAATTAAGTTAAAATGAAATTAAATATTCTATTTTTTTTATTTTGAGCTATTGCATATTGACGGAAACTATTGATTGACTTTAATAATTTTCAATTTAATTAATTATTTGTTTGAATAATAAGATTAAGAAGCAATTCATTTTTTCAGACGGGTTGGTTGACTTTGTGAGTGATAAGAGAGACGAAATTATTATAAAGCCATGACGAATTCGGTACCGAAATTGAAAAACAAGGTAGACCGGCAGGGTTCGCCAAATGTCGGCATTGATCGACATCATCACCGTTCGATAATTACACTCAAACAGCCGGCGTATGTCCACATGAGTGGGAGATCTCATGGCAGAAGTTCAACCGGCAGATTAAGCTGCAGCCCACACGGTTCTTCAAAAGGTTCGAGAAATTCACCGTTGCGGTATGAATATAGTCCGCGCGGCAGTCCAACAAACAGTTTTTATGCGGGTGCAAAGTTTTCTGAACCGCCATCTCCTGCGAGCCTTCCGAAACCACCGAGCCATTGGACTACGAGACTGATGAGCAGTTGTCAGCAATCCGACAGGATTTGCGATATTTCAAATCATCTGAAGATGATGTTAAACGTCCAAGCCTGATACATAAAGACCAACAGACCGCTAAAAACGGTTACCAGCTCCTAAAAACAAAGAGACAGGTACGATATTATCGTTCCCCCCTCTTGGATTTAAGGATGTATTTTTTTTCTTGTATGTGATGTCAAGCTGTTCGTTTGAAACAAACAAAAAAAAAAACAGAAGTGTTTATAACTGCGCGATACCACAATCTCTAAGAATGATACACAAGTAATATTGCAATTAGAACAGGGCACCAGCGTCTTCAGTTTCATGGTACAGATGCTGCGTGAAAAAAAAACTACGATTCGTTCTTTAAACTACTATACAAAACATATAAACATTGAATATGAAAGACGCAGGTGCGTCTGCCGTGAACCATGATTCAAGTATATAATAACTTGTAACAATTCTATTATGCGCCGTCTATGAAGATATAAACGTATGTATTTTAGATTATTATTATATATGATTAACTTGCAGAGACGCATACATATACACAAATACACAAACACTGTTATATTATCTGTTTGACGAAATGGTACGAAGACATAGGCAAAGCTGCATTAGCTATTTTTAGGAACAATAGCTATATATTTTTTCTTTTTTTTTTTTCTTTTTTTTTTTTTTTTTTTTTTTTTTTCTTTTAACCCCAAAATTTTTTTTTTTTAACCCTGTTTTCTTTGAACGTTTTTTTTTTTTTTTTTTTTTTTTTTTCTTTTAACCCCAAAATTTTTTTTTTTTAACCCTGTTTTCTTTGAACGTTTTTTTTTTTTTTTTTTTTTTTTTTTCTTTTAACCCCAAAATTTTTTTTTTTTAACCCTGTTTTCTTTGAACGTTTTTTTTTTTTTTTTTTTTTTTTTTTCTTTTAACCCCAAAATTTTTTTTTTTTAACCCTGTTTTCTTTGAACGTTTTTTTTTTTTTTTTTTTTTTTTTTTTTTTTTTTTTTTTTTTTTTTTCCTTTAAGCTCAAAATTGCTATATCTTAGCACTGTTGATTATGACAGTATATATGTTTTATTCTTTATTAATTATTAATCCGGAATTCTTTCCAAAACAGTTATTTAAATCTTTATACCAGATATATACTAATTGCTTTTTTCTGATTGAAAGATACTTTATATGTACATCATAAGTGGTAAACTTTAAGTATTACACATATTCATCTACTGCTCTTTAGCATAAACCTAAGTATCGATTAAGTATAACTTTGACTAATGATTACTCTTATATAATTTCTCGTCTCTCAGATTCAGTTAGTCTTCAATAGATTCAGAAGTCTTCAATGGCAATAGGTTTTGTAGAATTCACATATTCAGTGAATCTTTAAATCATATTACCTTTGAAAAATCTATTATAACAAAATTTTTGGTTTATATTTATCTTCTTTTGTTCTTGAAGATATATCCTCAATCATTTTGCAGCTTTGCAATAGTTCTGCAAAGCATTATATAAGATTTAAGTGATGAGTTTCCAGTGTGCAGATGGATCAATTTTTTTGAAAATTCCTATAATTCATAAATGAGAGAAAGATTGTATGAATGAATAATGAAGAAAATGATTTGATACATATGATGATGGATGTTTTATTATTCTTCTTTTTTTCTCAAAAAAATTTAGCAATTAATTAAGCAATATTTCTGCTTAAATTAACAAAATTTTTAGAAGATTCTCTAAATGACAAATTTAATTTTTATCTAATATAAGAAATCCAATTAGAGGCTTGTCATTAGGATTTCATTATAAATTTTACTTTACTCTTTAGAATTGAATAATGTTTAATTATTTGATATTGAATGAAATTGTGAGTTCACAAAATTTTTTGGTTCAATTCTAAATGTATGTGTTCCAAGAAAACATTTCAAAAATGAAATTTTTTCTGATTTTATATCGTTGTAAATGAATTTTTTTTCTAACATTGCATATGTTATATTATAAAAATAATAACAATAATTTTT